TCTCCCTCCTTCTCCTCTTGGCATTTGGTGGTGGCTTTTTTTTTTTTTTCTTGGGGACTCTCCCTTCTCCTGCCAGACTGACTTGCACCTTCTCGATAATTTCTCTTCCCCTCGTTTTTTTATACTCTTCTCCCTGCTTCCGAACCCTGTGTCTGTGTGTTTTAATACTATCACAACCTCTGCTAAAAATAGATCTTTTTATATACCCTTCCTCCTCTTTGACCCCATCCAACACCCCTTGTTAAGGTGAGTTGTGTCTTTTCATCACTTTTTTCCTTGTGTGTTGTTTCTTTTATTTTTCTTTTCTTTTCCCCCTTCAGGGCAGGTTTTAGGGAGGAGGGGATGTGGAGGAGAGGATTTCATGGGAAGTCAGGCGTGTTTGCAAAGCCTTTATTTTCCCTTCTGCAGCCTCAGCATCATTCCGGACTGCTCCCTTTTATCCCAAGGATGTAGCTGGCTGATGAAAGTGGGGAACTACTCTTCCTTAGCACTGCATGCTTGGGAGCCTCAGCAACTGCAGGAAAAAAACACCCCTTCTTTTCTTCTCTCCCCCCCACCCATTCCCTCCTCCTTTCTGTTTGTTTGGGGGTTTTTTGTTTGTTTTGTGCCCTTTTTTAATGCGTGGTTTCTGTTTTTAAGCAATTCGCAGGGGACTTGAAAAGAATTGCATGTGATACAAGGCGGGGGGGGGGGGGGGGGGGGGGCGCGCGTGTGTGCATGTGTCTGTGTGTGTATGTGTGAAGTGCATTTGTATTTTGTGTTTATGGGATGATGAGTGATAAAGCTTCCAAAGAGCCACTGTACACAGAGCGAGGAGCACAGCAGAGCCTGCTGATGGAGAAACTGGGCAGGGATGCAGGAAAGCTACAAAGCTCTTGACTTCAGAGTTCAGTCCCTGTGCTCCAGGACACCTTTCCTTAGATCATTGCTGGCACCTTTGTGGTGGTGGTGATGGCTCCCATTCCTCGCCTGGCTTCTCAGCAGAGGAGTGCCGAGAGGGAAAACTTTAGGGCTACCTTGAATTGATAGCGCTTCTCTTCTTCCAGCAGCCCAAGGACTGCATTATTGAATAGGGGATGAATAGGGAAAATAGCACTGTGATCCAGAGTAAATGGATCGTTTGGTGTCACATAATAGCTTCCAGTAACAAAACAGATAGGAAGCGTTATTACTTTGGTCAGCCAGCAGAAGCATTGCAGCCAGGTTTACTTGCCAATTCCAAACTTGTTTTAGACTGTTTTTCTTTCTTCAGCTGTTTGGCTAACTGTTCCTATTGACAACAGAAATGTGTTTCTACAGTCAAAGATCTGCTGGGGAATGATTTATTATTCAGAGGCAATCAAATAACCTACCTGTTTCATGGATTTTTCCCCAGTCCTTTAGTGTGCTTTCAACAATGTATTTTACCTATGTGTGTAAACTGGAGTAATATAGATTTTAGCTGCATTTTAACAAGAAGTTAAGGCTTAACTTGCAGGGTGCCATTTGCAAAGTGTCACTTAATATAAAGCAAAGTAACAGCCCCTAGCTCTTTTTTATGGATTTTTCACATATCCAGCGTTCATTAAAAAAAAAAAGTGATTTTGATAAAGAACTTGAAAGGAAAACTGGCTGCACAATGATACGCAGTTTCAAATATTCAGAGCTCAAAAATAGTATACTTGTCTGTCCTATGAAACTTGAATTTGTATAGGAAATCTAATGGATCCAAAGTACATGAATGAGCACTTTATATAGATAGTTTTCTAACAGGTTGGATCATCTTTGCGTCTAGAAGTTTACAAATGAACGAAACGGGTTGCTATTGCTGGTGCCTGGAGGCCTTCATACTGTATGAATACAGGAACATTTATGTTGCCTGTCTAGTTAACGCAATTCAAAAATACCCTATCTTTCCACATGCTGCGTAGATGACGTTCAACAGAAATGAGCAGTCACAGAAGTAGTCTTATGCTACCAAGAATCATTTCATCATTTCTTTTTCTTGTTAGCCTAAATTAAAATATTTTACACAAGTTTGCCTTGGGATTTTTTTCTGCTGTGGCTGTCTGGTGTTGTGAAAGCAGGAAGTATGCTTTGAATGAGTCGTGCCCTTCTTAACGTTGATAGCAGTGAGGGAAGAAATGCTTGATGTGCTTTGTACATTATCACTGAAGGTATTCAGGACTGAGAAGAAGAGGTGACAACCAGCATAGTTTAAATAAATAAATAAGGCTGATACACGTTAGCTTGTCAGCTGCTGTTCTGCTGAAACCTCGCTACTGGCTAAGCACCACTTCTTGGTAAAGCAAGGTGATGTGATGTGATGAAATTTTTCTGATTTGATAGACTTTGCTGTTAAAATCACATGCAGCACAGGACACCTCTTGTTCTGCTGATTAAAAAACATACCTCCTGGCTTTAATCCAGAGAAGGCTGAAATACCCACAACTCACACTGAAGTCCCTAGGAGTTACTTGTGCTCGGCACCTGTCAGGATTTGTTACTTAAATATATCAGTATTTAGGTTATTTCCAAAGGATACAATTACCAACAGATCTGTCTGTAATGGATCCCTTTGTTTAGATTGTACAGGGGGCGTATGCTTTTAAGTAAATGTTTTGTTCTACCACAGGAACACTAGAATGTGTCAGTAGACATGCAACTTCAGTACTGTTACCTCATGGACTTTTTAAAGAGAATTTGGGTGGTATTTTTCAGTCATTTGGGAAACAGCAGTGTGTTCACTTAACAAATCTATATCCTAAGTTGCTTGTTGTAGTTGATTAGCTGTTGACACTGGTGAAGGGAAAAAAACACGTAGTGTATTTGTGCCAAAAAAAGACAAATTAAAGCTTTTCTTTATCGTAACAACCGAAAGACAAGAGTGGTTTGGGCTGGATATGAAAACGATAAAGCAAAGTTAACGTGGAGTTTGGTGGTTGTTCCCTTTGACATGAACAACAGCATGCCAACACTCAGGTTGTTCTATAAGGTAGTAACATATGATGAAACTTTTTATGTTTTGAGGTTTGGATAAAACCTCTATGTATTCACCTTGAAAGCTTTTCCTGCTCTTGAAACAAGTCCTATAAAGCTGTGAACCGCTTAAGCAAAGTAAGGGAAATGGAGTTCAAAAGTCACTCTGGCTTTGTGGAGCTTGCTGTTATAAAAGTAAGGTGGGATTTCTCTCTATTGTCAGCCAACTGAAATGATTTTCTTGTATTCTTGTACTTCATTATTCCGCAACATCAGTCTAAAATGCTTAGTCCAAGGAATTTTTATTTTGTAGATGGGATATTTCCATAACTGAAAAGCATTTATATTTTGTCTTGTCCTAAACTACAGCTGTCCATTAGTTTCAGCAGCCTTTTCTTGTGGGGGAAAACTGCTACTTTATTTAATTTATTGAGGAAGCTATATTGATTTCCAATTCTCTCAAGCTTTTAACGAGGGAAACAAAAACTCCTAGGATTTCTTGGGGTTGGGGGCCAGCAGTATTATCTACATCCATGTAGACTGCAATCACAATATATGTTAAAAAGCCGTAGCGTAATCTTTCTGAAAACAAATTAATCAAATTTTCCTCTGTAAATCCCACCTTCTTCACCAGTTTTGAACGGCAGCACGTGTGTGTTTCAATCTGAGTATACATCTGAAATTTTGAAATGTTTAGGTGAATCAGGTTACTTTGTGCAAAGCTGAGTTTTTCTTTGTATTTTGTCTGCTAGATACACAGTTCCATAAAAAACCAGATTTTTCTGTTGTACTTGCTTACACATAGAAGAAAATTAGTATTTTACTCCTGGGAAGCACGTGTAACTCTGAAGTATTAAGCTCTGAACAGAACTAGAAGCACTTACATTCCCAGTCCTATTGGTGAATGTGGATGAATGACAGTAGTAGCAAGTGTCAGGCATGTCAGTGAAAGGAACGGATTGGCTCTTAGGGCAAGCACAGAGTACTTAACTGTCTGGTGCTGGAGTGGCTGTGTGCCTCAGGGCTAAAATGGCAAGTGGCTTTCTCACCCTTAACAGTAGCGAAATTCCTCTATCTTGCAGTTTGCATTCACAGTGATCTGCTTGGTTTTGCTTGGTATTACAGTAGATATGGAAGACTTAATTACAGTTTAGTAGTGGTAACACAGCGCTCTGATGACAAGTGTTTATAGAAAGTCAAATGGAAAATAATTGTGGAGGGGTGTCTCCAGCTATAGAGCTTTGTAGAATGTCTTAATTTCCTCAAGTATTCCTTAAACTTGTATACCGCTATTGTATCCTACTTGCCTGTGTAGGCTGGAAGTTGCTTTGTGTGCAGAAAGTGTTTGTAGGGAAGTGAGAAAGGATATTAGCGTTAATCTTTCTGAATAACAAAATTTAACAGCTCCTCCTGCTCCCCAGACCCCAACAAAATGCAAGAATAACTATGGCATTGTAGATAAAACGTTCAGAATTTGCTTGACATGAACATGGGATTTCATACTTCATGACAGGAGACACATTTTTAAACATAATTCAAAGGGAATGCTCTTTTCAATATGAAACTCTGTAGTAGTAAGTCTCTATCGCCTGTCTTGTCCTGTGTGATCTGCTTATAGCAGCCCATCTTCTACTTTAACTCCATACTTGTAACCAGGTAACTATTCCAACAATGCAGTGATATCAGTAATAAAATCTAAACTTTGTTTATAGGACAGAAATGTATAATGTTCTATTGATTTCTATTAACAGACAATGCTTTTAACAGGGTGTATGAATCCAGTCATTTTGACTATGGATCTATTTACCTTGCAACATCCGTGATCTTCTCACCTGTACACCAGATGTATTTAAACACTGTGGACAGTTAATAGACTATAAGGCTATTTTACCTTCTGCAAATGAAAGATAAAATTCTTAATTTGTTCTTTCATTTGTTTTGGGGGTGGATGTGGCTCAGGACTACACCTTATTGAATTAATTTTTGTCTTTTAGTTAGCTTAAAAATAGTTAAAGAAGGATTTATTAATGATTTTAGATGGTGTTTTTTGTATGCTTCTCAAAATGTTTGATTTCTTAATGAAGTTTTAGAATAGGCTATTGAGGTACGATGACAGCTCAGCCCTCTTAATGACTGGTTGTTAGCATACTTTCATTAATATAAATGACATACATAGTGACAAGGTCTTTTTCAAGCTCACTGGCACTTTGCATACAACAGTATCTTTTATATGGAGTCATTTGGAGCTCCCGTATTTTTCTGATCTGGACTGAAAGTATACCAATTTT